AAAAAAAAAAAAAAAAAAAAAAAAAAAAAAAAAAGCTTACATGGTGGGAAAACATGTGCCGAGTCACCACACAGAATCACCCGGTTCTTAGCCCAGACATTGCAGCTGCGTGCAGAGAATCCGAAGGGACGGGATCTGAGAATATTGATGCAGTCTTCTGGGAATTGAACGTCACCAGGTAGCCTGCGGAATTAGCAAGTTGGACAATCATGAAGTTTGATGCAAAAAACTTTACCCGTATCGGCTGCCGCTATGAGTAATATAGGGAAATACGATCTTTTGTATCATCTCACGCGTGGCCATGTGATATCCGTCTTCATGTGGCTGAACGAAGAACTCAAATCTCCAAAGTCGATCATTGGGACGTCCGAAACGGCCGCAAACAGCTGGGCGGTTCGGATTACATAGAAAGCGAAAATTGGGGGGGAAGAATAAGTCGTACACTTGCTCTGGAGTATATCCTAGCTTCCAAAGAGGAAAATTGGGATGACTCTGCGGAGTGGGAAGTGCGATTTGCCAGTTCAGTGCCACCCAAGTTTCATCATAGAATATGCTGAAGTGAAAGGCCAGTCAATATAACAGTGTAAAGAATGGTCGACAGTGTTGGTTATACTGACTCAGTCACCTTCTCCATAAAGACCCCCTTTGCCTCCAGGTATTGCTTGCGCGTGAACCCAGTTTTTCCATCAGCCCCTACAAAGAAGCGAGCGCGAATTCTGTGCTCAGTACCTTTTGCATTTCTGTAGATGCAATACGTCCAGTTGTCATCTTCTTTGAGATCAACAACAGTTGACTCAGATCTTAGGGAACAGGTTGAAGAGGCTGACATTGCCTCTCTAAGCTTCTTCTCAAGGACTGGCTGTTTGTGACAGATATATCCGACATGTCCTGTTTCCCCCGCGGTCTAAGCATTGGCCATGTTAGAACACCAACAGGTTGATAATAGAGACAGAAAATCTTACAGTGTTGTAGTCCATGGTAACGAATGGCTGCTTCATCAAATTTGTGTTCGACCCGCTGACAAAGTTGAACTTGCCCATACAAGACCCAATTTCCGTATAGATTGAATCGTATAGACCTGCCCCCTGCAATATGCGTATCCCATCTTCATCTAGAGCGATACCTCGAGGGTCAGTGGTGATATTTGCTTCCTTCTCCAAGACCACGTTCGGGATGCGCATCTGGCCAAGGTAGGCAGACAAGAGGGCACCGGTCGGACCACAGCCGCAGATGAGGATATCGGTCGTCTCCCAATCATGGTAGTCCATATTGCGGTTCCGTTGAAGCCGAGATAAAGCGTAGGCAAAAGCGAAGATAGAAATGAGTTTTTGGCCTTCCAGACGTCTAAAGCAAGGGAAGCAAGGAACCCCAGATGAGCCCCCGCATATTTATTAGCCCTCCACAGTCAAATTGAAGGTTGAGTCCAATCCAATCCAACATCCTATCCGTATGCTGGCAGCTTTGCTACTTAGTCAGTATAGTGTACGGGAACTGCGGGACCTGCGGGCGCAGCTGCGGGACCTGCGGGCGCAGCTGCGGGACCCCTGTTTTGTACTGTCGTACCACGTTCAGAAGGACCTGAAAGGTAAGCCCAGATCTTAGTAGTTCAACTACCAGTGTGATTACAGCATCAATAGTCCAAATATCGTTCAATCTGGTTAGACTTGGCTGATTTTGGCCATATGGGATCACATGACTTTGTTACTTTGCCGCATTCTGGGGGTGGGGTCGGAGATGAGTTTCTTAAATTCTTACATAGTCTCAGTCCAGCCCTAGTCTTGCTTTCTCCCGCATTTTGCCCGCACGGCAGGGCATGGCAGGACATATCCCCAGACTCACTGCTCTCCACCACAACTCTGCAGTTCTTAGCCTCTTCTCCTGTTACTCTATATCAATGCTGTCTAACTCCACCACACACTTTCAGAATGCCGGCAAGTCCCCGTACGAAACGTGAGCGCATTTGTCCTTGGTGTTCTCAGTCTTTTTCGAAAGAGGATCACCTGGCTAGACATGTCCGACGCCATACCCGTGAAAAGCCTTTCTCGTGTGCCACCTGCACAAAGTCATTTACACGATATGATTCCCTGCTCCGTCATGCGAGGTCTCATGGCGTCAACCCGCAGTCAGAGAGCCAGAAAGCGATCTCTGCCGCAGGGGGACCTGGTCAAAACGAGACGCTTCAAATTCATGAACTCTCGCCAGAGTCGATGGTAAATTCAGCACAAGGTTCCTTTCCACATGAAAACTCTCTAGTAGCTGCCCAGTCGACCAGCGACCCGGTAGTCAGCTCACCGTCCCAAGCAGATCCCCTGCCGGTCAGTTTCTACGACTGGCCGGTAGACTGGACTTCACAGCCGTCAACATGGCTGGCAGATGCTGACTTTGATCTGAACGCGTTCAATGCATGTGTCATTACTTCTTCTACGCCAGTCAATGACCAAACCCTACTCCCACTCATGGAACCTCCCGCCTTAGTCCCACGGTCCGTGAGCATCGCCCCTACATCCATACATGAACGACTTGAAGATACGGTTCGCCGGCGATGGTTTACCTTCATTGAGGGCGTTGGTAGCGGCTATGACACACCCGGTGGCAGACCTGACAGCATCCACATTGACGATGCTTATCGGGATAACTTGGCACAACGCCTGCAGCAGCACATCACTACAGCGCCGTTGCCGTCAACAGACTTCTTGGTATGTGTTGCGCAAGAACTTATGGCTGGCAGTGTCTCTGACTCGGTATTAGAATATGTGTATCCGAATGTATTTCACTCGCTTCAACGACATACTTCCCATCATCCATCAACCCACGTTTCGCCCTTCTGTGAAGAGGTCTCTCTTGTTGCTTTCTATTTGCTCGATGGGCTGTCTTTTCTTAGGTTCTAGCCATGCAACCCAACAAGGGATTCGAATATTTGAAACTCTAAACAAAGCTATACTTTCTTCGGTTCGCAGTTAACCTTGCCGCAGCCCTTCTTATGCTCCCCTTGACTAACTGAATAAGTGGGAAAAACATATAGTTCGAGAGAAATCCGAAGCCCTGTCTATGGTTCAAGCGGCTTTGATCGGACAGACCTTTGGAATGTTATCAGGGGTAAGCTGCCCCCCACCGCAGATAAACAACAGTCTACTTGCAGCAATTGTCAGGACTAAATCCGTGTTCCACAGAGGCCAAAAGACTTGTTAACTGTGCAGACATTCCATGGAACGGTGATCACTGTAAGCTTATCTTATTATCTTCATCTCTACCAATATGACCACGTATGTTTACCAACCCTAGTGGGCAAAGAGAAAGAATTTCTTCTCCGGTCGTCGCGCAATTGAGCTTATCAATATAAAAGATATTGAGCGCGCACTTGAGCCGGCATGGAGAGCATGGTCTCAGGCGGAAGAACAGATCCGGTGAGTTTCCCTGTAATAGCCTGTACGGGCTAACAACTAACTTATTACCCAGGCTCTGGGCCGCGGTTTCCATCCTGGACGCTGAACTGTCCGAACTATTACTCGGCGAGCCTGTAGTACGACGTTTTGCGCCGTCCGATCTAGTATCCGAGGACGATCTGTGGACGGCTCCAACTGCGCAAGCCTGGGGTAATGCTGTGCGACGTCGAGTCGAACAACTCCGGATATCTATTACCTCGTCACCATCCAGTCAGGCGATAGAATTTCGCTCCTATGTTGAGCTAGAAGGAATAACCTCAGCCATTAGCGATTCTACGAACTCTCTGGAGAATAACAGGAGAGATTTGCTCCTGGTGAAATGGCAGCCAGTTCTGATGAGCTTCTACGACCGCTATCTTCATTCTTTACAGCAGCTCTCGTCTCCACAAGGGTATAAAGATAAATTCTGTCTGCAGGCTCTTTGGCACGCCAACTTCCTTAGCCTTCTAGCTGACCTGGACCGCTTAGAGCAAGCGCTTGGGCGTGAAGGCTTTGACGAAGCTCAGCGCAATACCAGCTATGTCTGTGCGTGGGCAAACTCATCCGAGGGCCTGCGATGTGCCATCCATGCTGTTTTAATTCTCCATCTGTTAGAGACACTGCCAGCTGGAGGAACCGAGCCGGGAATCCATGTCCCCCGAGTGCTGTTTCGGGCGACCATTGTCTGGTTCTGCTATTTAAAATTTGGCGTCAGGGACCCTTCAGAGTGGTACGAGCAGAGTCAGGCTTTTAATAATCCTAATAGCTTGCCAGAGCTGAGACACATTAGTGCGAAACCTGTGAATCTCCTTTTTGAGTCCCTGGATTTCCAGCAGAGGCGGCCAAGCCCATCAGAATCCAGTACCACATGTCGATATGTAGATCTCATGGGACGCATTGGACACTGGGGGTTATTCCGTCAGTTAGGCGCGGTAGGAGCGGTGTTGCTCCATGGGGCTTTGGAGGCTGTTCCCCCTGTACAAGCTTAGGCTTAAATGAAATAATGACCTTCTAGGAGGCTTTCTACGAGGTAGCGCCGATAAACAAAGTACTTGGGTCTTACCTTTCGTAAGAGGTAGTCTAACGAACCCAATAAAACCTCGGAATGCTTATCGAGTCCCCGCCCGACGTGGTGAAACCAATTCAAAACATAGTAGTTCACAAAACGCATATCCATTCTAAAGAGCTGCAAAGGGACAGGTACCTTCCACTTTCACTCATATCTAACCTTATTGACCAAGCTCCCAATCCCCTCAATCTCAACCGAAAACTCATCCCCATCCTTCAGGACAAGCCTTGGATTTCTGAAATAACCGATTCCCGCCGGCGTCCCAGTGAGGAAAATCGTACCCGCTTCCAAGGTAGTTCCCTGTGATAGATATGAAATCTGCTTCGCAATAGAGAAGATCATATCCTTGGTGTGACCGTCCTGAACAACGCTCCCATTATGACTACCTCGGATCCGAAGAGTTTGCGGATCTGTGATCACGGACGGTGAGACGAGGACGGGGCCTGTCATGTTTTTAAAAAACAAGTTAGTTAGAGCAAAAAACAATTCCCCACCGGCACATATCATCAGTAAGCCAGGCAGGTAGTCAACTCGGGCAGAAACTAGGAAGGAGGGAGTTGAGAACCATACCAATAGGACAGCTACCATCCAACCCCTTGGAAAAACTCCACTGAGCAGTAGCCAGCTGCAACGCTCTGGCGGACACGTCATTGGAAGCTGTATAGCCCAGGACGTAATCCAATGCTTCACTCTCTGGGATATCGCGTCCTGTCTTACCAATGACGACGCATAATTCGGATTCATAGTCACTTGTGTCATCCTGCGCACATTTCGGGATGTTAATGGTAGCCGGGTAGGGGTCGGCCAGTGCAGAGCGCGGCTTGGTGAACATGATTGGGACTTTGGGAAGGGATAGGTTTGCTTCAATAGCATGGTCGGTGTAGTTGAGGCCAAGGCAGCGGATGTAGTTGCATTGCGTAGAGTCGACCGGGGAGAGGATCTATGTTCCGTCTAAAGTTAGCATTTCACAGAAGAGTAGAATATATCAAGCGACCGACAGTTTGGTTAGGTTAGGTTAGATTGAGCTATAGGTTTATGTTACCTGTTTCACATGCATGATCTTATCAGTGACTCGGCCGTCGAAGATACTTCCCTCGATTAGGTAGACGAGGATTTCCACGCCATTGACGCTGTCCTTTCCCACATCGCGGTTTGTGTCGACTAATTGGCCAAGGTGTATGTGGTTGTCCTCCGTCGCGATAAAGCGTACAAGATGTGTCCAAGAAGGAGACATTGTGGTGTCTGCTGGAGTGCCAAGTGTACTTCTAAACTGATCAAGACACTCCGTTAGGTACTTATTGATCTATTAGTAGTTTAGTACAACCCCCGCGGGACGACGGAACTCGGACAGCGAAACTGGGGGCATAGCGGGACGTGGGTGTGGGACCATCCCACGCGCTTGACGGGTTAAACTCGGTGAGGTTCCGGAATAGAAGGATGTTGGCTGCTCCGGCAACGTTCAGCCCAGCACAAAGGACTGTTGGAAAGACAGATATGTAGCTCGGGGTTAGGATGTCTCGGACAAGGAACCCTTTCCACCGTGCGTTGGTGTTGTAGAATATATTGAACTGTTACCGCGATGAGCGGCATAATTGACGATGGTGCCCTTGTTCCGTTCGAAACATTCAAGCTCATGGTATTGAGATTCGATCCCAGGTTCCTGATCAGACTTAACCTTTGACTGCCGTTCATTAGCATTATGCGGGCGACTGGGGGGCCACCATAAGACACGAGCAAATTCATAGCCCGCTGTCGGAGTTTCGCCCATATATTCCTATATAGTAACGTTTGTATATAAAGCTGCCTAAGCATTATTTATGTACAGTGGATTTGCCTCAGTTTCGCGCACCCACAAATTCCACGGTCTCATGACCGACCACCGCGTCATCTGCGTTGTAGCGACCAGCTCCGAGTCTTGCAGATAATACAATGCCTCATTATTCTTCAATGGGGCAGTGCCGGCAGCAAGCTGAACGGTGAGAGAAGCAGTCTGCACCCGGGCATTCTCAGCCGTATAGATAGCTCTAAAAACACACTCTTCAATGCCGCCCCCAATAACAGTAAAGCCATGCCCTCGCATCAGAACTACCGAGGGGTGGGAGTTTTCGCTGCTCTCGAAGCACGCCGACAGGTCTTTCCCTAGCCGTTGATTTCTGATCAGGAGATCGCGGACGTCTTCTTCCGAGTAGAATTCTGCGATGTCGAACATGGGGACACGGCTTCCTGGTTGGGGATAGAGCGAGTAAGTATTGCCTTTCAGTCAGCTAATGAGCTATAGTGAAGAAAACTAACCTAGGAAGCCTGCCATATGCACGCATGGACGTAGTTCAACACCTGCACGGAGTGTCAGATACCATACAGACAAGGATCGCTTCAAATTGGATGTTTGGGGCTATCAGGCCGGCTTTCTCCGATATATTGCACTGTAAATTGAGGAAAATCAATCAAATACCTGTAATGGTGAAGGGAAGAATGGCGGGCGAGTGGCTGTGAATCACGCTATGAATCTCCGGATATCTTCTGTATATCTCACTGTGGATGAAACGCTCGACATAGCCAGGTGGACTAGTAGGGTCAACGGGGGAAGCATCATCTACCTGATATTCCACGATGTCGGCTCTCGAAGACATGAGCGCGGGAGCCATATTGCGAGGCATCAAAAAGGTGTTCGTTTTCTCTGGGTGCCGCACAGAAAGGTGACCATAGGCGTCGAGGATCCTGTAGATGATGATAAGCCCGTTGTCCCATGGTAGTATTTAGGAACCCTACCCGTGTTGATGAAGAATATGGGATCCATTGATGAGCGTGCGGAAAATGGACGGCGTGGAAGGGGTATTGTCTGTGGCCATTTTCTCGTCGAGCTTTGATTACAAGGTAGAAATCTTGAGAGCAATATTTATGGGAGACGCGGCTGCTGTGACCATATTCAAATATCCCCCGCACTTCAAATGACAACCGGTCCCAGCATGGCAACTCAGGCTAGACCAGAAGCTGTTGATTCCTGTGTCGGACCGGACATAGCATAGACTACCCGCAAAAACCGAGCTTAATCCAGAACATCCCACAGAATGTATCCGGCCGCTCTCCTTTTGTAACCGCAAAACCCGAGAGTCCACACTGGAGTTCCATCCCATTGCACAATTGAAATGTGATGCGGAGATTATTACTCTCAAGTCCTACTACCAACAGGCACTGACAAGTCATGGTGTGTGTTCTCGGTCTGTAGTAGCAGGGACTGGAGGCCTGAATGATAATCCATAACCTATGTGCCGTAGTCGTGTTTATACGGTACTGATAACTTTAGGGTATAACAGTTCGGCTGCGGGGAACTTGCATGTATTTATCAGACCAGTCCTGCCAGCGAGAAGGTTGAAGTGGGTGGCTTTTTCGGACTATCATTCACTGGTGACCTGTACGCTACTCTATCCAAAGTCAAGCTCGCCCGTACCACCACACTGCATAACGGATCTACAATGTATGATTGAACCACGCCACCGCCTGCGCGAACGCCTGTTCCTTCGAAAACCGAACGCGCGGCTGGCTGATGTCTCCCCGAATGGCGAAGCCGTGAGAAACCCCGCTAAACAGATTAATCTGGAATTCCTGTCCAGTGCCGATCAGAGTCTCCTCAGATGCGTGGCGATTCGCCATGGTGAAGATCGGGTCGTGCTCTGATGAGGTCAGTGAGTTATTGAGCCACAGCAAGTAGAGTAATCGGGCAGGGCACGGGAGGCAGATGGTACCTGCAGCAGAGATGGAGAGAGGCCTCTGAATCGCGCCCAATTCCTCTTTTGTGACGAATGACGGATGAGCGATGTAGCCGGAGGCCAGCTGTCCTGCCTTGAGGTACCGGACAACATACTTCAGATGAATGAAAGCAGGAGATCAGCGCGGCTCTCTCGCAAGTACTCAGAGTCTCGGAGATGAAGGTTAGGATTACCTTGCCACCAAAACAGTAGCCAGCCGCAGCGACGTTCTGCACGTCCAGGTTTGTCCTCAGGTACTTGATTGTGGCCTCGACAATCGAGGCCACATCCTCAACTGTGTGGCGGGAAATCCAGGCGCCAATATCGATTGCCTTTGCGTCATAGTCTGCGATGCTGACTTGATCCCCATTAAACAAATCAGGGAGTACACACAGGTAGCCGTTTACAGCAAAAGCATCTGCCACAAGCTGGCTGTTGGGGAAAATGCCAAATATGTCACTCAACAGAATGACAGCTTTATTTGGTGTTTTGTCACCTTCAGGGCGGGCAACGTAGGCTCGGACTGTTCGTGCTTAGCGAGTATTCGTCACCTAAAGGATTGGACCTACAGTTGTTGATTTGCTCTATCTCCCCTTTGGGGTCCCCCTGGTGAAGAAAGCCGGTGAAGCAACAGCTGCCTGGAATTGAAGATGTCATGGTTACAACGGTCGAAAGCGATAGCGAGTATACACGGCGAGCAGGGTGAAATATACCATTTAGGATGAAAATAAAGATATCAAGATGAATAAAGTGTGCAATTACTAAAGCCGAGACTTACCTAGAAAGGCCTAATGCCTAAGGTCAACAACCGCGCCATTTAATGACCTTGTATAGGTCCCGCTGAGTCCCGCAATGGAATACCGCGGGGTCTTCTGTATGTTCATGTTGCGCCTAAAGTATGATGGGTGACACTGTATGATGGCCACTGAAGCAACGACATATACACATGCATACCTTAGAACCTGTGTACACTGTTGATGTTTAGGATGAGGTGGTAACTATTCCGGGGAGCCTCCTCCAGAAGGGCCACATGGCTGTTTGTTTGTTGGGGGTTTACTGCCGAGTGCATATAGCAGGAGATGTGATTGAGCGAGATATAATACATATGTACAGAGTCAATGCCCCTAAAATTGATGGATCTTATCTTTCGAGTATCCCAGTTGCTCTAGAATACCATTCCCGCCCTTTCCAAACGAACCAGAACCCAGCAAAGCCTTTTCCATGGCGGGCGGTCCACAAACAAATACCTTTGTATCTTTTTCACTTGGCCCTTGCATGAGCTCTGCGAGGAGTTCCTTTGTTATATATCCTGTGCGTATGCCTTGCTCTGGCGAGAATCCTTGCTTCGGCCGGCTGACTGTATAATGGATATCAAACCGGTCCGGGTACTGCTGTTTGTATGCATCAAACTCGGAGCGCAGGAGAAGGTCTTCCTTGGTGTTTACCCCAAAGACCACGGTGACCTTTGTTTTATCTTCCGGATTGTCCAGGATTCCCTGCGCGAGCTGGTAAATGGGCGTGATGCCTGCGCCGCCTGCAATGAGATAGACATGGGAGAATTTGTTCGGCGTCCAGCTAAAACCAGGGATACTAGCCATGAATAACAGACTGTCCCCAGGTTTCAGGTTGTGAAGGTGTGTGCTTGCTTTGCCGTTGGGATACTTTTTGACGAGGAGTTCAATAAAACCAGGCTTGTCTAATAAACTCAGAGACGGATTATGGACTGGGATCGAGGTCACTTACCCAGCCTACTAATCGGGGTGTAAGGTCGCAGAACAGGTAGCCAGCTACCGTCCGGTTTGCAGAAGGTCAGAAGAGCAGCTAACAGTTCCCAGTAAGCCTCTAACGGATATAGGATGTCAGAAATCAGACAAGAACTTACAGGTAAGGTTGAGACCACTTTGCGCATTCTCTCCGCCCGGAAGCTCGAAGCAAAGCCGCTTGGTGTTATGGTTGACAGTCTCGGAGCTCTGAAGTTGGAGGTACTTGAAAGCCGGCCCTTTGCCAAAGACCATCTGCGGCGTTGGCGACTCGGCGAGAGCTTGCTGGCCGAAGATAGAAGAAACCGTGTATGTGCCAATTCCGCCGACAGTGACAACGGCGAAGGCCTTGGCGACTAGGTGTTTGTTCAAGAGGCCCGACATTGTATCGGCACTGCGTGGAATTGCGGTGCGACCAACGACTTGGAGAGTTGTCAGTTAATATCAGGTGGGAGCCGATGGCAGAGCAGTCGTATTTCGTTCGTCGAATCCGTGATTTCTGTTATCAACGGGAGTGCGCGTCAAAGGCAATTAATTATTGATAAACATGGTCATTCGCGGGGATCGGGGCTAAAGATGCCGATAAGCTCATGAAATGTTTCATGATGGGAGGCAAATTTCAAACAGTCTCAGATGTCCAAAATCCCTGAGCCAGCCACTCTTGAATCCTTCAGTACTTCGCGACTAATCAGCTCATTCAGCTGGTCCCGCAAACTTTCTTCTCCCACTCTGCGAGACGATACCAAACCGGAAGCAGCTAGACCTCCTAAATTTGGGCATCTCGGGCCCTCGGCCTTTGCGGCTTTTGCCTTCCCTGCCGGTACTCTGAACTCTGAAGTATGCGGCCACCACTCGTCTTGCTGGCATCACTGCATCAGTGGCACGGGCCTCGGTGGATCATATACCGTACCCATGGCCTGGCGAAGATCACCTAATAAACTAGGGAAAGAATTGCTCTAATAGTTTTCCACTTTGACCTTTAATCGCAACCATGCCTGAGATCGCGTCTCTGGTCGCGACAGCAGGAATAACCTCCTCTCTGTTCGTTTCTGGTAAATTCATGAACCTTTTGTTTTGAAACGGGCAACTATTAGGCCCTTGAATCGACCTCAATGCTAATTTTTGGCTGGACACAGGAGCCATCTTTGCGTTCTCCGCTGGCGGCGTCAACACGTCGAAATTAGCCACAAAGACCTCTCCAGTTTTAGCCGCGCGGCAATGGCTGAACGTCTTCAATAGATGCCATAAAATTGGCACGCCCATGGTTGTCTTCTCGGCAGGGTGTTTTGCGTGGCTGAAGTATGAGACAAACAACAACATTTATCTTGCCGCCGCCGCTTCGTGTATGGGCATTGTACCCTACACCATTCTCCTGCTCAGCGGACCCGAGGAGATTCTTTTCGCAGCGGCAAATATGAAGGAGAAAACAACCTCTACTCCTGCGCCTCGTGATATTGAACGGGCTCTTGGTCGATGGGAGGTTGTCAATATGGTTCGCATTTTGTTTCCTCTTGTCGGCGGTGTGATGGTCCTAGTTTCCAAGATGTAGGGTCCGCGAGCGCCAGTGTTGATCTCTCCTCGAATCAACCAAACCTGGTCCATTGAAGTGGATGGATGAGTATTGTCAATAATACCTATATCTATAGAGCAGGATGAAGGCCCGTGAGAACAACTCAAGTGTCGCCTACTACATAGAAGATCAACTATAAGCAAAGTATTTCTGCCATGAACGATCCTGTTGAAAGCGCAGCATCTCCTTCATCTTCCGATTTGTCAATGGTGCCTCTCGTCCCTCCATCTCTCTGGTAAATACCACCTCCAGGGCGTTTCTCTTTAAGAACCCTTCAGTTGTCTCCGTCTCAACTGTGATCTCGTCATTTGTCGCGTTGACAACCTGATACCCCAGTCCATCCCGCAATACTGCAAGATGGCACATCTGCCCAAAGTCGCGGGCGTCAGTATAACTCCATCCAACCGCCTTCAATTCGGCCGGGTCCTCCTTCCAATGCAGAAGGTATTGTTCGTACTCATCCGGCGCAATCACAGCCGCCTGCCGTAACACATAGATATCAACCCCCGCCTGTAAAAATCGCCTTGCAAAGCCCCGCGCCGTCTCCTCCACACAGAGCTTGGAGATGGCATACGTATCCATTGGATTTGTAGCAGCTTCTTCGTCAACTGGAAATGACGGCCACTCCATAATACCCTCTGCGTACGGTGGTCCGTCAACACACACAGTACTCGTGATAATAATTTTCTTCACACCCAGTCGGCATGCTGCTTCAATAACATTATAGCCCGCTTGCGTGTTCACCCGGAATGTCTCCACGTCAGGCACAATCATGTTGCGCGGGATGCCGGCGAGGTGGATGACCGCGTCGGCGATCTCATTTAGCGGGGAGTGGTAAGGGGAGGTTAGCTGGAAGCGGGAGGTTAGGGCGCTGTGCACTTGGCCGCCGTCTGTAAGGTCGACATGAAAGGTGTGGACTTTTTGCGAGAGATGGGGTGGGAGAGGGGCAGATTTCCCTGCGCGCCAGTAGAAGTATTTGTTAATGAACGCGGATGCGCCTTTGTGGAAGCCTGCTGATTGGTTCACTAGGTTTGAGTTAAAGAAAATGAACAGAATCAGTGACAGTGGCGAGCCTTGAGCTAGGCCCGCATTCTCCGGGGCGTATATTAGGGATTTGAAGCTGTTGAATAAGATACTTGCTAACTGGCTTGGCATGAAACTGGTGACCCAGATTCGCAATTTAGTTGGGATCCCTTCCGCCTTGAGCTGTAGGTTGAGGGTATTCTTGTTGACCCATTGAATGCCCCTTTATGTTCGAATGCGGCCAGTGTTATCACTTTCAATGAAAGCCACGCTCAGTCGATGGCATTCCTCAGAACAAGGAGCGCCTGTTTGGTATTGCGACCAGTCGGTCACCAAACTGAGTATTTGGCAACGGGTCGTGTGCCTCTGCATAGTACGACAACTACGACAACCTTTTAATCTTGGGGTAGCAGACGAAACGAATGATTAAAATGCGAATGGAGCTTGTTCAAGGCACACACTCAAAGTAGTATATTGACCGCATGAGCATACCACCTTCAAGCTACTCTGTACGTTTTGTTATTGACTGCTAATGGTAGTCCCTTAATTGATGATCTTGTTCACAAGCCAGTCAATAAAAACTGGCCCCAATAGACCGTATGCCTGGCTTTCGCCATCCGCATAAGTTGGAGCCAACACGGACAGCGGAGCGCCCATCTGCAGGATTGTATCCACATCAGCCTTAAGTCGGTTGTATAGTGTTGTGGACACCTCAATCCTAACGGTATTATTCTCCCCATGGCGAATATAAGGGGTAATATCCACCTTGACACCGTCCGCACCAAATGGGTCCAGCTGGTGACCGTTCACCCAGGCGCGGAGAGTATTAAAGATTGGACCCACTGACAGCAACCCGCCAATCCCACTGATGTTGGGGACCGCGAACTTGGCGGAGTATATGCCGATACCACTCACGGCTGCCAGCTCGTGGCTTATGTTCTTCCAAGGTAGCAGGGATTGGTTGACGAATTTGTGGACAACTATCAACGGTTCAATTGTTCTTGTATCGTTCGGAATGGCCCTCCAGTCGTGGATTTCGAGGTCCCAGTGCTTGAGTTCCGTAGGGGATGGGACGACTGCGCTGAGCGTTTTCTTTTTGGTACCATTGATCGTGACTACAGCTGGTCCTCTAAGGCTAGCGAAGAGCTTCCCATCTCTGTTGTACCAGACTCTCTCAACCTGACCTGTGCTATAAGCGACCCAGGGCGGCCTTTTACTCGTCAAGGGTTTCAACGCTATGATAGTTGTCTCATAGGGTTGCAGTGTTAGCGGAATCCGCAGCCGACTATCCGAGAATGAGTATCTTGCGATAGGGCATGACGTCCCAGTCCATGCATTTAGATAAAATGGTAAACGATCTCCACGAATTCGAAAGTCTGCGGTAAAGTTGATTGTGGCGGCCGCGTCATTGAAAAGCCAAATGTAGTCGATTCCTGACTCGGGCTCTGTGCGATAGACGCTCAGAACGGAGCTTTTGACTGCGTTAATTTGCACGCGCGGTCTGATCTCTGCCCTTTCTAGACCTTCCAGGAGCTCATCATTTGTAGTAACATGGTGGATATTGTCACTGTTTTTAATCAGCTCCTTCACCATATCAGTAGCATTTTCGGTTTCACTCGGTTGTGATAATAGTGGCAAGGACTCGACATCACCGATAAAGAAAACTGGTAGCCCGGCACGGCTGAACTCCTTGACCTTGGACAGGACTTTATCGTTGATTCTTGTACCATTCAAAAATATCAATGCTTGGTACCCGGGCCCATTGGGCGCAAGAAGTCCATCAGAAACAGACACATCAGGGAGTTGCAGATTTTGAGGGCCAATGAAATTGTATGCGTATCCTGATTATAATCAGCATGCAACCATAGAGATGCTAGGGGTTTGCCAGACCTTGTTGTTGAAGAGCTTCGGAGTCATAGAATTTGTTACTACTCCATCGGCTAGGAGAGTAATACATCGCAAGGTCAATGCGGGGCTTCCCAGCTTTGAGAATGTGTTGTGTTCTCCCCAAGTAGTCAAGTGTATCCTTCATATGCTGCCAGGCGGGCTGGACACGGCTCCACGTCTCGGTGAATCTATACGCGAACGGCTGATACCCAGGCCAGGATGTCCCCACGTATGGGCCACTGTATGACATGCCATGAATAACCATCATTGTCAAGCCAGCAGCGTAAGACTTCTTAATAGACAGAAGCAGGTCCGGAATAGTCTGACTAAATGCAGGGATGGACACGGCCCCAACCTCAGAGGAGATATCGGCTTTGCCTGCAAGCTGCGCTGGTCCTGAAAGGCTCCGATAGGCATCCAGGCGATCGCCGAATGTTAGTGACTCGCCCTCCGGACCATCAACAGCCGCAATTTCGTTCGCCTACGTCCATGTTGTTAGCAAATGCCTAGAAAGAACACGAGAGAAAAACAGGGGGAAACAAAATAGAGGGAGACGCACGAAGCTCAAGGGTAGATTGTATGATGGCTGGGCCGAAAAGCCTATTCCGTGCGATTTGGACCACTGTACATGGGAATGTAGGTATTCCTGATAGCATTCACTCAGTGTCTCTCGGTAATTTGCGTTGTGAATGCTAAGCCCATCGGTATAATACTCTCCATACTCGTATTCTTCTGGATATGGGGGGAACTGCTCTCCCCAGGAGTTGGCTTGGCCAAAAAGAAGGGGTAGGTACTTGACTAGACTATATCCATGGGTCGTCTCAAATCGAGCGAGGAATCCTCGTGTCCAGGGAAGAGCAAACAATAACTCCATGCTGTCCTCCCAGGCTGATTCCAGTTAGCCTTTAGATAAGAACAAACAGTAACTGCAGCCACTATGTGAGATAATAATCCAGGCAATACTCACCATAAGCGCCGTTGGTCCTCAGACCCTCGTTGATGGTGCTCTCCACGAGAACATGATTATCAAAGAAGTCGGTGTGTAATCTCGCTCCTGCTTCGCTAAAATGGTCTACCACCAAAGAGCCATTCTCAATTGTTGTTGTTCCATTGAGGCCCCCAGTGCACGAAACTTGGTTTGTAAAGCCCTCCCAGAATGAAAATATCTTCCAGTTTCCGTTGCCTGCAGGAGCCTGCCAATTCAAGTGTCCATTGTCCACAAACCGATCCAGATTGATGATTGACTGCTCGTCTAACGTCACTGTTTTTGTCGCTGTACTGTTGCCGGCGGATTCTGGTACATTTGGAGTGTATTAGCGTCGTGTTCAAATCATGAACCAGTATCCGGCGTGTCACTGAACCTGATATTACCCTCCCTGCAATGACAGCCTTCAACTCTCCCTCATCGGCACCAGCGAGGCCGTGCATGAATCCCCCTCCTGATAGAAGTGTCTCACTGAGATTCTGTGGGCCAGGAACCGGGCCCGTGACTAAGGTTCCCGGATTCACCGTCATTACACCCAGTTGCTATTTAGGGAGTTCCATTAGCTTTCATAGGCCACTGCCACCCTCATCTTCGCGACCACGTGGATAGTCTCTTCCGACTC